ATTAATGTTGGATCAACCATACAAGTCATTTCCATAGAACTATGGTTTCTACAACCATAGTGTACGCATGGGCGAAAAATAACATTACTATTTTGTTGGGGCAACTATATTTCCTGAAGTGATATCCATAGTGTTTTCTCCGTGTATGTATGTGCGTCTGATGCGTATGGACACGTCTGTATAATAGCGGTGATATATCTTGATTCGGCATTTTACAAGTTACATGTTGCAAAATAAAGTTGGAAACTTCTTCAGTGAACGATTCTCCTATGATTGGTGCATTTTTAATCCAAATTAGCAAATGAAAATGTTGTATACCCTTATCTTGATATTCTCGTCGCCAGAAATAATGAGATACTTCTCCAATTGGATGATCCTTTGAACACATAAAATCGAGCATTGCTTTGAACTTATTATCTAGAAACCTTGATGTTAACACTGGATCTTTGGCAACAAGTACACTAGTACACAACGAGGAATCGTGCCGTCCGTTTACTTCATGAATATATTCTCCTAAATCATCCCACAACCATTCGCTGGAACTTAACGTTAAAAACCATATTGCAGGTCCATAATGCTGCGTCATGCGATTTAAATCACTTCTCGGTCTTCGCCAATATTGTTCTGTATTTTTTACTTCGGAAAATATTGTACTTAAATTAGATTCCAATAATTCTTTCGACATTGCTTCTAAATATTCTGCAGCTGTGTAAATTCGTAAACGTAAATTCGTTACATTCATTTTATGATAAATTCCACGACTTAATTGACGAACAATTATGACTTAAGGCTCGTGAAATTACCAACAAGATATGTATAAGGCCTTACGAGTCATTCTCAAGATGTTTTTGAGTAGAAACTTGTACGTGTATATATATACATACACATGTAACGAAATTCAACTTGTAAATATTTACAAGTGAGTGTTTTTTTGAGTTTAAAACTCAATTCTTAAAATCATACGGGATGCCAGATTTGCATCTCACATATGACAGACCCCGGATACCCCCCTAACTAATATTAAAATTTTGCGAAAAAAACTCCTCGGCCAGGAGTCGAACCTGAAATCTCCGGCTTTCCGTGCCATCTCCTTCCCTGTTAGGCCACCGTTTAGTTTTTTTCGCAAAATTTTAAAATTAGTTAGAGGGGTATCCGGGGTCTGTCATATGTGAGATGCAAATCTGGCATCCCGTATGATTTTAAGAATTGAGTTTTAAACTCAAAAAAACACTCACTTGTAAAAATTTACAAGTTGAATTTCGTTACATGTGTATGTATATATATACACGTACAAGTTTCTACTCAAAAACATCTTGAGAATGGCTCGTAAGGCCTTATACATATCTTGTTGGTAATTTCACGAGCCTTAAGTCATAATTGTTTAAAAATTACGCTGGCTGAAGAATGCGTTAATCAACATTATCAGACCATCTTTAATATATGTATATTGCGAAACTAATTCCAAGTGCCTCGGTGGCTTAACAAGGAAGGCGATGGCACGGAAAGCCGGAGATTCCAGGTTCGACTCCTGGCCGAGGAGTTTTTTTCGCAAAATTTTAAAAT